TGGGCGCTAATTGTCGGAAAATTTATAAATGAAAGCAATTAAAACAACTGGTGGTGTGAGATAATCTCCTCCTCTATCTTTCTCAGGGAATTTTTTTATGGTCCGACAATAATTTTTGTGTGTATTTTTAACGTGAGTTCGACCAGTCCTGTGTGGCACTGGGCTTTTTCGAATTATATGATTTTACTGAGTAACACACGAACGCGTAAAGAAAAATATTCGATAACAATTTTATTAATCGACGGAAGTAAATAAAAAGGAATTGAACTAATGAACTCTATAATAATGTAAATGTCAATGAACAAACTGGAATACAGGAATTAGAACTTCTTGTTGGGTCTTCGACTTGGGATATGTTTCTTGGCGTTTAATCGTACAACCTCGACGTGTGTAACCGATAGTGATGTCGATACAACTCCAAGAAATAAATGAAATGAATGTGGAAAAATTACAAAAATCGGAGCCTATGGAAATTGCAAGCTGCGTGTGAAACTATACCAATGAGTATAGAATCCAGCAAAGAACCCTAGGTCGACAAATAGCACAAGAAACAAAACAACGAGGCGGATTGGCTTTCACAGAACCCAAGGCCTGTTTTCACTGGGCCTGTCTGTCAGTCGGTCGGCTTTCGCACAACCCTGGCCTGTTTCCACTGGGCCGTCGAGTCTGATCGGCTTTCGCACGACCAAGGGCCTGTTTTCACTGGGCCTGTCTGTCAGTCGGTCGGCTTTCGCATAACCCGGGCCTGTTTTCACTGGGCCGTCGAGTCTGATCGGCTTTCGCACGACCAACACAAAACAACAAGAGTCAGAACAACACTGGAAACAAATTGTGTGACTTTAGTACTTTTCACTGGGCCGTCGAGTCTGATCGGCTTTTGCACGACCAACACAAAACAACAAGAGTCAGAACAACACTGGAAACAAATTGTGTGACTTTAGTACGCGTGCGAAACTATGCCAATGAGCATAGAGTCTCGTACCAAATCCACTTTTGAGAACTTAAGACGTTTCTGAAACTATGACAATGAGCATAGAATCACGCATTAAGTCTCTTAGATACCAGAATAGGCACTGATTACTCGAAGCTGCCTAACTGGTGAACCCAAGGCTGACTCTTTTTGAGAACTTAAGACGTTTCTGAAACTATGCCAATGAGCATAGAATCACGTATTAAGTCTCTTAGGGACCAGAATAGGCACTGATTATTCGAAGCTGCCTCACTAGTCAACCCCGTCCTTCAGTCTTTTCACACCCTTCCTTATCAAAGCAAAATTAGATTTTGTTTCGGGTGTTTTAAAAACATAAAAATTTCCAAGGTATGTCCAATTAATAAAAAAAAACTACTAATTAAATTTTAAAATAATTTGTAATAATTTATGACATCATCTAAATTGCAAAACAAAAAAAAATCGTCGTCACCTATCGAGTAAATTAACTTGCACCATGCCCCCTATCGAGTGAATAAATTTCGCGTTGAAAATTTTGCAGTATTTTTAGTCAGTATTATTTCATAATTCTGACAATATTTTGGAACGAGGTTTTCAGCCATGCAGATTTCATTGAATATTTTTGCCTTTTTTTTGCTTACTTACCGCCGTATTATTTTAAATTACTCTAGTTGTTTCACGTAAATATGCATCTATTTATTTATTTTAATATTAAACTATAACTTATTTCACTAATTATTCAATTTCATCTGCATTACAAGGTAACATTTTGCTTTTAATATAACTCCTTAAATTATTTATTGTTATTTGTTCTATATTTCCTTTTGGAGACCGACCACGTTTTAGGCGTAAACAATTTCTCATCCATCCACGTTTTTTGAATGTATTGATACAATTCTTTCAATTTCTCATTTCCCTCATTAACTGCTAACTGTTCAAACATCCTAGGTATCCATTCGGATGGCAAAAACGGCAATGCCAATAATAACTTGCATTTAGAGTGTTCTTCTTTTTTTTCATTGTAGTCTTTTTGTAAGCCTAGTTCCTATTTAAAATTGTAAACGTTGATATATTGTGTTCTAATAATTGATAGTTGAAATGGAAAAAATTAAATTGTAAACGTTGATATATTGTGTTCTAATAATTGATAGTTGAAATGGAAAAAATTAAATTGCTAGTTATAATTACTCAAAATTTACCTTTATTTTTCTGAAAACAGCTTGCGTCCAGTGAAACAGGCATCCATGAATCGATACTTGCAAGATGTTTGTTGCAGCAATCCAGACAGCTTGCTCAAAATCGCCTTAATAAATTAAGTGAATCCATGTGTGTTAAAATATTTAAACTGTTTTTAAATATAACAAAACTATATTCCTCACATGTGACTGATTTCACGTTCAAGTTTCCTGTTCCAACAATCCATTCGATAGTTAAAATATTTAAACTGTTTTTAAATATAACAAAACTATATTCCTCACATGTGACTGATTTCACGTTCAAGTTTCCTGTTCCAACAATCCATTCGAATATACATTCATAATCTTTTGTTGCTTTTCCGCTCATTAAGCAAAATAATGTAGGGATTTGTACATATTTATCATTATGTTTTATGAAAACATGTATAGTATAGAGTTGGAAAAAAGGTTTTTTTACAACCTAAAAACAAAAACAAATAAATAATTTATTGTGAATACATTTCAATAAATATCAAATAATATTGAAAACTTACGCTGAATGTTCCATCCATAAACCAATTTTCGGCTTGACGTAATGAGTTTAATTGGTCTTCTGTTGCAAATAAGAGATGTCTTTGATTATCCCTCTTTAAATCTGCACATAAAAAGTTCTGTGGAATTAATGAATTATCTAATTCAAAAAACAATGTCTCTGGATGCCTTGGACGTTTTAATTCTCTGAACCTATTAGCGTTTCGAGCTAAATGCTGTGGGTTGATAAGATGAAAAGGTTCTCCAGCCGAAACAATCTCTCTAGTAGCCTGTTTAATTTATATAAATTAAATTTAGGCTTTTTTATTATTAAACTGTAACAGATAAATTAACCTTAGTAACAATATCTAGTGCTGATGTGAAAGGTTGCTCCATAGCAGCCTGGTAAGACTTTGCACGAATTTTAGCAAGGCCAGTAGCCCCAGCTATTGCATGACAGGTGTGTTCATTTTTAATGGTAAAGTTATTGTCTTGTTGAATAACTATAGCTTTACAACCATTAGTTTTCTTAGCGCATACCCAAGTGGTCTTTCCTTTCTTTGTTTTGCTTTTAACAGTCAAATTGTGCCCATCACTGGAAACTAAATGATCTCCCCCTCTTTTAGTTGCCTGTTTAACAATTTCAAATGTAATCCTAGGTGGAATTTGCACATTTTCTGTTGTTATGGGTAATGGTGCAATTGTTTGTTCATGAAAGATTGATGGATTTTCTGTTATGGGTAATGGTGCGATTGCTTGTTCATGAAAAATTGATGGATTTTCTGTTATGGGTAATGGTGCAATTGTTTGTTCATGAAAGATTGATGGATTTTCTGTTATGGGTAATGGTGCGATTGCTTGTTCCTGAAAAATTGATGGATTTTCTGTTATCAACCTGTTATCAACCTGTTATTTTCTGTTCTCAACCTAGGAGTTATGATTTCCATCCAATTATGTTGTGTTTCATTATTTGATATGCAGCTATTATTCCTCTCGGTAGAGTTCAACGTTGCTTTTGCGGGTGATGACAATGAAATTAATTGTCGATGGCCAAGGTTTTTTACTACTTCGACACATTTCTTACAAATGTGTGGTAAATCCCTCCCATCTATTAAAAAAATTTGAAATTAAATTAGAAATCGTTATTTCTAAATTTACAAGACTCATGAAAAGATTAAACAAGTAAAATATTATAATTATATCAGTCTAATTCACTATTTTGGTTCTTTTATTTTATAATAACAAATAATTGAGTTTTTGACCTATATCGATTGTTTACATTTGCTATCTCTTATATCGCTATCTTATTATACACTATCTCCTATCCTTACGCCCTTACGGTCTGCCCTACCTTACCGCATTATGTAACAGTTTAAATTATTTGCTTTATTATTAATTATATAATAAAAATTAAGGAAAGATCATAAATTAAAAATATGAAACATTTAAATTTTAAATAACTTACTTTGTCTTGCCTTACTATATTGGTAAGTAGTGTAGCCTGTACCACATTTTCGATGACACCATCTTGTACAAACATCGCATGTTAGTGCATGTTGTTTTGCAGTGACTGTTCTGTCGCACACTATACATAAATCGGACATTTTTGCAGAAAATCAAAAGTAAAAAAAATAGATCAAATAAACCGTAATGAACAAATAGGAACTGGAAACTATTAACTACGTTTTTGTGTAGTTATTACATAGACATAAATAATAAATTATAAAGTTTTAATAAACTTAAAAAGTAAATATAAAAATTTAAGACCGTAACGAACAAATAGGAAACGGAAACTATTAGCTTTGTTTAACGACTTTGTTTGTTTAGTTATTTAGTATTAATTTATTGTTTTTGGAAATTATTTTCAATCTGCCATGGTATAATGCATTATCTTCGTGGTTATACTTGTGAAGCAATTGTACGAATGTATCGTGGTATGCATGTATAATACTATGTATTTTTTTTTCCTGTAAATTCGGTAACGGGCAATAGCCCGTGCTTTGTTCAAATAAATAAAATAAATTACATAGACAAGTAAAATAAATTATAAAGTTTTAATAAATTTAAAAATTAAATTTAAAAATTTTTTGGATTATTGAAAAAATTGTTGAAAAAAAATTTTTGGACCAATCGTCTTTGATTTTAGGACCAATCGTCTTAAAAAACGGGATCAATCGTCTATTTTATAATGGACCAATCATCTCGGGACCAAACGTCTGTAGACCATTCATCACACACGTATTGTTTATTTCCTATTCTTCCAACTTTCCAGTTTTATTTTCATTTATTTTACCTTTTATTAATTAGTAACTTTTATTTAATTTCATGTTTTAGTATGAAATTTATCTTTTAGGTTACATCCTTCGCAAGGTACCATTTTAACTTCACTTTCAATTCCAATTTTATTTTTAATATCTTATCTATCATGTCCGCTAAATAATTTTCATAATTCGTTTAATTCTCATTTATTTTAATTAAATTTCTTATATTTCATTAGTTTTAGGCTCTGATGATGGCTACTTAGCCGAAACAACGTTGTCAGCTTCGAATATGTCACAATTTCACAATAAATATGAATGTCAAAAACTACGCTGTGTTGAGTCCATAATAAAAAAGTTGATAAATGCAAAATGGGCAAATAAATTTAACAATATATATATATATATATATATATATATATATATATATATATATACAAGCAAATCGATGGTGTCGCTATGGGTTCCCCATTGGCGTCCTATTTGCCAGTTTTTACTTAGGACATGATACAATTGACTTAATTATCAACACCGTTTACCACTCAGATAATGTTCCATTGAGCATACCGAAAGCACAACTGAAGTCCCTTCTTCAAATTTGCACTACCGAAGCACCATTCCACAGCCCCACAGGCAAACTTTACAAGCAAATGGATGGTGTCGCTATGGGTTCCCCACTTGGCGTCCTATTTTCCAGTTTTTACTTAGGAGGAAATAACAATATTATGAAAGATATATATGTATATATATATATATATATGTATATGTATATATATATATGTATATATATATATATATATATTGCGTATATTTTGAATCTTTGGAAAATGGCGGAAGGAATAATTGTCGAGGTTAAAAGCGATAAAAAATACGTAATTGATACATTATTGTGTTATATTTGGTATGTTCGAAAAGGAAATGAAAACTTCTCTTTGCGAATTTTTTGAAGTTGACGATGTAAAAAAGTGCAAAGTTTTTGCATCATGAAGCCAGCCCATTATCGCTCAGCCTGCCCGAGTTTTCCGAAGACGTTGACATGAATAAAATGTGGGACGAATTTCTTAGTATATGTCGGTTAATTTTTGAAGCTAAAGTTGAAGACAAATTTCCCTGTTTTTTCGCTGATGACTTGTGGAAAGTTACTAATTGTGACAATAGATTCGAGAAATTGTCAACTGAATAGGTGAAATTGCAAAAAAGTGTTATTCAAAATAGTCCGGCCGTTCTGGAATTTCTTGAAGAGTATGGCAATATACTGAGTGATGTCCAAAAAAAAGGTGAACAGTATCGTGTGCAGTGATGTATGCGCCGATGGAGATTCAGATGCTGAGACATCAGTCGCTAAAAATTTGTCTGACATTGCTGAAGAAGATAACAATGATGATGGAAATTTTATAAGTCAGACGCAAGAAAAGAAGAAACATTTTACTATCAACTAATGCAAGTCCATGTTGTCATGCAATATCAAAGACCACTGTTGAACCTCATACGCAATATAAAATATCAGCTAGTAAAGTTTTATATCGGAAAAAATTTTATCACATTGGTAATGTTTCAAAGACTTGTGCATCCAATGTTGTTGACCACCTTGAGTCAATTGATGTTAAAGTTTTGTCTTGCTACCCTGTATTCAAGAGGAGAGATGACAAAATAAAACTTGATGAAACCCACCCTTCTACGTCATTCCGGTTGTGTGTAGATGAGAAGTATGCGGAAATAGTTGAAAGATCAAGTTCTTGGCCTAATTATGTTCAGGTTAGGAATTGGGTTTTCAATAACAACAGCAAAAGTGGCAGCACCAGAAATGCCGATGTCAATGTCAGGACATGTTCTGATGTGAAACGATGATATGGAACTAGTGTCATGTTTTATTTGCAAACTTTAAATTTATGATTTGTTAATTTGACTTAATTTTTTTTTTCATTTACCCGCTTTTTTTATATTATGCAACTATACATTGTATATTCGTTTAATGTACATTGTGGATAAACTGTTGACTTTTGACAATCATTTCTTTAATTTATTGTTACTGGATTTTGGGAGTGCCTGTGAGATTTCATTTAATAGGCGCTATATAAATGCATTAAATAATATATATATATATATATGTATATATATATATATATATAAACATTATTGAAGATATATGCCCATTCTGCATTAATGACTTTCTTTAATGAACACTCAACAAGTCTGAATTTATTAAACTCGTATTTATTTAAAACAATAGACATGGTAAGGCTAACAGCGCTGTTTCGGGAAGTCCATCTTCAGAGCCTATGAAAATAAGAATAGCATGAAATATTTTTATAAAATTAGAATGCATATTAAATGTATGTGTATATGATGTTTTTGCTGAGTTTTATATGTCGGATCTTGAAACTCGCATATTTAAAGACCCAGATAACAAGCCGTTGATATATGCACGATATGTTGATGATATATTCGTTATTTGCAAAACGGTTTCTGATGTGTACTGTTTGCGGAATGTCTTTCAAAATAATTCCCATCTAAAATTTACTATCGAGTTCAGCAAAGAAAATGAAATTGCGTTTTTGGATTGTCTTATCATGCATCACGAGAAACAATTAATTTCAAAGGTCTATGTTAAGCCAACCAACTCAGGTCAGGTGCTTAATTACAACTCAGATTGCCCTGAAAAATATAAATATAACGTAGTTTATAATTTTGTGCACAGGGCATATAAAATTTCATCCAATAATACTATTTTTCATAGTGAATTAGTTAGAATCAAACAATTCTTAATAAACAATAATTACCCGAACAAGTTAATAGATACCATTATTCGCAAATACTTGAATAAAATCAGTGACTCAACATCTGTTCCTTTGCTACCATCGGCTTCAATAAAAACAATAATACCGATCGTTTACCTTAATCAAATGCATGACAACTACAAAATAGACGAATTTCAACTTAAAAATATTATAAAATCTAATATCTCCATGTGTAATGGTGAACATAAACTTAAACTCATTATATATTATAAAACTAACCGGACTTCTAACTTAATAATAAAAAATAGTGATAGACATTCTACAAGTATTCTGGAACAGAGTAGCGTGGTGTACAGCTTCAATTGTCCTATGCCACACAGTGTTGTGGAAAATTATGTTGGGCATACGCGTACTACTCTGGCCAGAAGGCTTACGATGCACGTACAGAACGGTGCCATTAAAGATCATATGCTCAAATCTCACGGTTTGCCACTAACCAGAGCATTACTTGATGTTAACACGAAAATACTTGAACGTGAATCGCACCCAGTTCGCCTCAAAATTAAAGAAGCTTTATACATCTACAAGAATAAACCCGCTATGAATAAACAATTTAACACATTTGATCATAGCCTACATCTTTACTCCCAGTATAGACATGATAGTCCACAACCTTGCGTTCATACCAATATCCTGGAACCACCAATGTTGCGCCACTTCGAATACGAGCCAATGCCAAAAGAAGCGATACTGTTTAATGGTGAACATGTTACCACTCGTCATAAGATTAATGTTTCCGTATCGCTGGTTTCGTTATTCGACAGTGCATCTTAACATCCATATTAGCTGTGATACATTACAATTACTTGTTTTATTTTTATTTTATTTTATTTCATTTTATTTTTTCATTTTATTTCATTTATTTTATCTTATTCCATTATATTTTTCATAAATAGTCTATATTCCAATTTAATCTAATTTAGTTGTTTCATTTACGGATTCGTTTATTAAAATTTCTTTATATCATTATAAACTTAATAATTAATTTTGACAATTTTCCATATTCTTTCCACACATGTCTTCTTTTCACATTCAACTAACTTATTTACGTTTTATTTATATCATCCGATTTTAACAAATTTTCACCGAACTAAACTTCAGTATTAATTTATTTGTTTTAATATTTAATTTAATACTATTTTACTATTTTACTAACTTTTTATATACATTTATATTTTTAACCATAAATTTAATTTGTACATGTTTTGCATTGTTTTCACTAACAAAGGTTTCTCGACGAAGGTAATGTTCGCGACGGTTTTAACTCAGCGACGATTAAGCATATGTAAAAGGCGGATTATGAAAAAACCGATTAAATAATGAATATTTAAAGGTTTAATGAAATGAAAAAAGATTTATTATTGTTTTTTATTTGTTATTTATAACATTTTAACTTTATTCAGATTAAAAATTGCATAAAACAATAAAAAAAACTTCATCATAAAATCGCTATATAATATATATTAAGATACCATCGATAAGGAGAAAGTAAAAAAATCGCCAAAAATTTATTTATGTATGCATCTGAAATATATTTTCATTTTTTGATAGACAATTTTATTTATAAAAATACCATATATAACAAAACTATCTCCCGTTTTGTGCACATTCTCAAAA